GCCGCCCCACAGAGCAGCCCTATAACACCGCCCCATAGGGCCACCCCATAGAGCCACCCCATAGAGCTGCCGGATAGAGCAGCCCCATAACACCACCCCATAACACCACCCCATAGAGCAGCCCCATAGCACCACCCCACAGCACCAACCCACATCACTGCCCCATAGCACCGACCCATAGAGCCTCCCCATACCGCCACCCCACGGCACCGCCCCATAGAGCAGCCCCATAACACCGCCCCACAGCGCCGCCCCATAGGGCCGCCCCATAGCACCACCCCATAGGGCTGCCCCATTGCACCGACCCATAGCACAGACCCACAGCACCGCCCCACAGGGCTGCCCCATAGCACCACCCCATAGTGCCAACCCACAGCGCTGCCCCACAGCACCGCCCCATAGCGACAACCCACAGTGCTGCCCCATGGGGCTGCCCCATAGAGCTGCCCCACAGCGCTGCCCCATAGCAGCAACCCATAGCACCAACCCACAGCGCTGCCCCATAGTGCTGCCCCACAGCACCGACACATAGTGCCACCCCATAGCACCGCCCCATAGCGCCAACCCACAGCGCTGCCCCGTAGGGCCACCCCGTAGCAGCGACCCATAGCGCTGCCCCATAGCACCACCCCATAGCAGCAACCCACAGCGCCAACCCACAGCACCAACCCATACAGACCCATAGAATGACCCCATACAGACCCATGGAATGACCCCACACAGACCCCATAGAATGACCCCACACAGACCCATGGAATGACCCCATACAGACCCATAGAACGACCCCATACAGACCCCGTGGAATGGCCCCATACAGACCCCAATAAATGACCCCATACGAACCCATGGAATGACCCCATAGAACGGCCCTATAGCACCACCTCATAGAACGGCCCTATGGTGTGCCCCATGGCACTGCCCCATGGAATGACCCCATAGAACAGCCCTATGGAATGGCCCCATAGAACGGCCCTATGGCACCACTCCATAGAATGGCCCCATGGTGTGCCCCATGGCACTGCCCCATGGAATGACCCCATAAAATGGCCCTATAGCACCACCCCATAGAATGGCCCTGTGGTGTCCCTGACAACACTGCCCCATGGAATGGCCCCATAGAATGACCCTACAGAATGACCCTATGGCACCACCCCACAGCTCTGCCCCATGGAATGACCCCATAGAACGGCCCTATGGCACCACCCCACAGCTCTGCCCCATGGAATGACCCCATAGAACGGCCCGATGGTCGTTGCCCTGTGGTGTGCCCCACAGCACTGCCCCATCCAATGGCCCTATGGCACGGCCCTAAAGCACCACCCCATAGAACAGCCCTATGGTACCACCCCACAGCACTGCCCTATGGAATGACCCCATAGAACGGCCCTGTGGCCCGGCCCTATATGACAGACTGTGGCCCTACAGCCATGCCATGGGGCGGAGCCATGGGGCAGCGCTATGGGGCAGGGCTATGGGGCAGAGCCATAGGGACAGTGCAATGGGGCAGGGCTATGGGGCAGCGCTATGGGGAAGAGCCATAGCAGTGATGCCATGGGGCAGCGCTATGGGGCAGTGCTATGGGGCAGAGGCAGAATGGAGCAATTCTATGGGGCAGTTCTACGGGGCAGCCCTATGGGGCAGCGCTATGGGGAAGAGCTGTGGGGCAGCTCTATGGGGCAGCTGTATGGGGCAGTTTTATGGGGCAACTCTATGGGGTAGCCCTATGGGGCAGCTGTATGGGGCAGCTCTATGGAGCTGTTCTATGGGGCAGCCCTATGGGGCAATCCTATGGGGCAGTCCTATGGGGCAGAGGCAGAATGGGGCGGTTCTATGGGGCAGCTCTATGGGGCAGCTCTATGGGGCAGCCCTATGGGGCGGCTCTATGGGGTGGCTCTATGGGGCAGTTCGATGGGGCAGTTCTATGGGGCGGCTGTATGGGGCGGCTCTATGGGGCAGAGGCAGAATGTGGGCAGTGCTATGGGGCAGCCCTATGGGGCAGCTCTATGGAGCAGTTCTATGGGGCAGCCCTATGGGGCGGCTGTATGGGGTGGCTCTATGGGGCAGCCCTATGGGGCAGCTCTATGGGGTGGTTCTTTGGGGCAGTTCTATGGGGCAGTTCTATGAGGCAGCTCTATGGGGCAGCCCTATGGAGTGGCGCTATGGGGCAGCCCTATGGGGCGGCTCTATGGGGCAGCCCTATGGGGCAGCTCTATGGGACAGAGGCAGAATGGGGCGGTTCCATGGGGCAGCTCCATGGGGCAGCCCTACGGGGCGGTGCTATGGGGCAGCTCTATGGGGCAGCCCTATGGGGCAGAGGCAGAGGGGCGGCGCGGCGCCCCACACTCACCAGGCGTAACCTCCTGATGACGTCGCGCTCCCGGGGCTGCCCCACATGGAGCGGGGGGAACAGAGAGAGAGGGAGACAGGGTCAGACAGTGCGGCTATGGGGCAGAGAGCAGCCATAGGGCAGAGAGCAGCTATAGGGCAGAGAGAGCGGCTATGGGGCACAGAGAGTGGCTGTAGGGCAGAGAGAGCAGCTATGGGGCAGAGAGCAGCCATAGGGCAGAGAGTAGCTATAGGGCAGAGAGAGCAGCTATGGGGCAGAGAGCGGCTATGGGGCACAGAGAGCGGCTATGGGGCACAGAGCAGCTATAGGGCACAGAGTGGCTATAGGGCACAGAGCAGCTATAGGGCAGAGAGAGCAGCTATGGGACAGAGAGCAGCTATAGGGCAGAGAGAGCAGCTATGGGACAGAGAGCAGCTATAGGGCACAAAGCGGTTATGGGGCAGAGAGCAGCTATGGGGCAGAGAGAGCAGCTATGGGGCAGAGAGCGGCTATGAGGCAGAGAGAGCGGCTATGGGTCACAGAGCAGCTATAGGGCACAGAGCGGTTATGGGGCAGAGAGCAGCTATGGGGCAGAGAGGGCCCAGCGCGGCTATAGGGCAGAGAGCAGCTACAGGGCAGAGAGAGCAGCTATGGGGCAGAGAGCAGCTATAGGGCAGAGAGAGCGGCTATGGGGCAGAGGATCAGAGTGCAGTTATGGGGCACAGAGGGGGTCAGAGAGAGGCTATAGGGCACAGAGAGCAGCTATGGGGCACAGAGGGGCAGAGAGAGGCTATAGGGCACAGAGGGATCAGAGAGAAACTATGGGGCACAGAGAGCAGCTATGGGGCAGAGAGGGGCAGAGAGAGGCTATGGGGCAGAGGGTCAGAGCGCAGGTATAGGGTGCGGAGGGCCAGAGTGCAGCTATAGGGCAGAGAAGGTCAGAGAGAGGCTATGGGGCACAGAGGAGTCAGAGTGCAGTTATGGGGCAGAGAGGAGGATGGGGTCCGGGTGGAGAGTCACTATGGGGGACGGGGGGGGGTCTCTATGGGGCACTGAGGGGGTCGCTGTGG